GATGAGTACATGATTAAAAAAATATTCTGAATATTGATAACTCACCAATTTTCCCATAATGCCTGTCCCTACTGTATCAGTAGACACATTTTCAATGAATGGTATATGTGTTTCAAGTGCATATATCAGCAGCATTATGCCTACTAATCTAACTAGAGCTACTTGAGTATATATACCTCCAGGATGAAGTGAATTGACTATAACTTGTCTATAACAAAACTTTCATATTATACAAGATGATTCCGGATAATTACAACAATTTTAAAAGGATCTTTAGATCTCGTTAAATTGAATTATTTTTGTTAAATAACTCAGCGATGCTTCCTAAGACGCCAAACATCATTTAACCTTGTTGAATGCTGTTTGATAACTATAAATTAAAGCAAAAAAATTGTTTTTTATTTTATTTTAGTACAACAAATGTTCGAAATGGCGACTTGCAATCTCATTATAAGCATTGTATTTTTGGTGCATTGACTGAGGCATTCTCTGGAAAATTTAAAGAATATTGTGAATTACATTATATGTTCAAAATCTTGTTTATAAACTTGAGCATCGATTATGATACTACTTGATATACTCTAAAAGAAAAAATTAAGATATGTAAAATTCGGCAGCTGATCAAACAACAAGGGTCGATTTGTTTCTATCAACTTGTGGCTAAAAATGTTAGCAAGATGTTGACGTTTATAAACAGTGACACCGCACGATCTTGTATTGAAGAAATGTGCAACAATTAACAATGTTCAACGAAGCCTTAAAGATGCATCGCGAGACACAACTTACTTACTGAACAAAAATTGTTGAATTTAACAAGCTCTAACACTCCTTTAAATTTGTCCGGAATCATTCTGTACAATTGCTATTATATGTTGACATATTACATTTTGAAATTTAATATAAATTACGTACCTCCATTCTTCTTCTCTAGGAGTTTCGTGAAATAAGAATGCTTCTTTGCTTAAATCTAATTCTTGGAATCCAATAGCGTATATATCTGGCGGCATTTCATCGGTGCTTAACCACGAATCTAATTTAATGCCATTTGGAGGCTGTCCGTTTACGTTCCATGTACAAATAAGTATACTGTAATTATTAATAATAATCATGTAAAACATATATAAAAATGTACGTTCAAATTAATTAAAAAAAATAAAATAACGTATGATATACAACCATAATAATGTGGAGTACAAACCGAAATGTTTTACTGTATGTATAATCATCTTCTTTACAAGCCATTTGATATCGGACTACTGATTCTCTTGCAGCTACTGGGGATCTACCCGAGGCAATGCTTTGTCTTGGTACTGTTAATTCGTGATTCTCAAGATTGAACAACTAAAAAAATAATAATATAAATTTTTATTAAAAGATATTTTATCAACTTTATTTCATATTTCCATATAATATAATTATAATTTCATTATTATTATTATATATTAACTTATTATTTTTTAATTATTATTATATAATAACTTACAGAGTCGACAGCATCATGCGTATCTTTACCACCAGTAGCTAAATTTCTCGTACTCCGTGTTAATTTTTCAATCCACAAAAATTCCGCTGCAGGACTTTTAACTGTCTGATATACTAAAATCACATTTTACAGATAGATACTTACTCGCGCGCGCACACACACACACACACACACACACATACCTTCTATTGCTCGAAATATCTCTGATACTAAGGAACTGGTTGCCTCTCCAAGCTTCATTTCAAATATTAGACGAAGTTTCCTTGATGTAATATTCATATATATATCAAAACCATCTTGTGCTTCTGCATTAGTATCTTTAAGTTAAAAAAAGAAGAAAATGAGAAACAAAATTTGATTGAAAAACATTTGGATCAATTAAAGATACGTACTTAAATGATAAAAGTTAGACAAATTAAAAAATATAAGCAATATTAGACATTATTATAGAAACAACTAGATCTAATGATCTGGTGATTTCTGATAGCTGAACCATAGTACCATTATTTCAAGAATTATTTTACACTTTTACATGAGCTATTGGACAGATATCTTTCTAGTATTTTTTACAAATTTTAGAATATGAAAATATTATGTTTTCAAGGGAAAAGTATAAAATAAAGCTAGACGCAAGAAATTTTTTACATGTTATTTCTCGCTTCTTGACGTCACACAATCCATGTCGCATCGCGAGAGCTTTAAATTGTTAATGTCTATTAATTTTGATAATTTACAGAGTATCTGATAATAGTATCATCTCTTGTAAGCAAGTAAAATGGATTATATTGAATAGAAGTCTTATATTATTTTCATTTTTGCAATAATTAAAAAGTTATTAATTTATATACATCTCCACGAATGAATGAATTTTCATACAAAAGGACAGTCCAGCAATACATATGCTCATGTTTGCTAGACCGCGGCAATATAATGGAGATGATGTGCACTATAAATAAATATGCTATCATTTATAGATCATATTCAATATTTATATTCTTGCTAGCAAGCCTAATAACCATTACTTAACACGGCTGTTCTTTTGTACAAATGCTTGTTCATTTGCAGCTCTGTATAAATTAATAATTCTTTAATTATTGTAAAAATCATAAAATCATACAGAACTTTTTGATTCAATATAATCAGCTTTATTTGCTTTATGTAAGAAGTACAATGGTTAATACTAAAACTGGACATCCTGTATATATTTATATACATACTTATTATTGAACTATCAAATCATTCTTAAAAACAAGCCATCTCACAAACTCATTAGAGATGCTATATTTTTAGTTTGATAAAAATGCACTAGATTTATGCTGAATTAAAAAACTCATTCATAATTATAAAATTATAAATTATTTAAAAAAAATTTAAAAAACATGGAGTGCTCAGTATATAGAACAAATCTTTAGATAAAAAAATGTTATTTTAAGATAGAGATAAATGTCCAAAAATATAGAAGAAAAACATTTCAAACAAATCCACTTGTTATTGTTATCTACTAATTACAGATCCACAAAATATAAAATATTTTTAAATTATTTTTGATAATCTTAATACTTTTATGCATAAAATAAATCAATTAGCATGAAGAAGATACACAATTGCTTTAAAAAAAATTATGCAATTAGCAATATGCATATATATTTTTTTTAAAAAAACAACTATATGTTTTTTTCTAGCATGTCCACATATATAGTATAATTTAGAAAAAGATATATATATATCTTTTTTT